TTTTCTATGTATGTATCGTTCATGGAGGAATAAGCCAAGCAGATAGAGGAGAAAATCCTAATTGAGAAAAGCTGAATTGAGGAGAAAGGAGAGGAGGAAGGAGAGAGAGGTTCATGTCATGAACATAGACTTACCACGCCAATCAGATTGATTCACATTACCATCTCAATTCGTATGAACTGAACTATTTTATATTTTCATTATATATCATTATATATTTTTTCACTTTTGAATAGTTTTTTCAGGCACGCAGTTTTTTTGCATTGATTTACAGATATTAATGAAATTTTTTTGATTCACTTCAATTATGGATTCAAGTATTATGCAATTATGAATTTAAGTATTATGGATATAGATTATTATTGAATTTTTAGTTATATACAATATTTATTTATTTCTTTAGAGCACTTAGATTTATTAATTTTGGAGCGCGGTACAATATAGATATATGAAATTAACATCCATACACCTGGAGAGGGTGTAAAAAGTACCTGGCGATCTAAATACTTAATTATTTAATCAAGCACGTCAATTGATTTATTAGTCGTTCACTTAATTCATAAATTCAATATTATTAGTATTTTTATACACTGGATTTATTGCTTTATAAGTAAGAAAAACTTCTAGTGGCTCACAAGTATTTCATTAATTTGCATTTTTGAAGTCCTGTTTGTGCCTCTACTACTTTAATAAAGTCATTTTTGCCAAATCAATGGCTCTGGTCTGTAGAACAAGTCACTTGACAAACCTCATACCTGTAAGAGCTGCACTGGCATTGCAGGTGTTTACCTATCCACCTAACAGGTTCTCCCAGTCCCTTAGCCCCTACGTGGTCATCGCAATGTGCCCTATGTCCTTATATTTTCCCAAAACTTACAATCTATGCAGATCCGTTCGTGAAAAAATGATTAAAGTGTGTAAAATGTTTAGCGTCAATATAGTAGGTGAGTGAAGGACTGAAGCATGCCTCCACAAACACACACAACACCACAAAAACACTGACGTGGTTTTCCTGTCACCTGCACAACACTGCGAGCTCAGCGGGTTCAGAGTAACATACAAACAAGAGACTCTTTGAGGCATTGTATTCTTATGTAACACATCCGCATTTATTTTTTTATTTATTTCAGGTACTTATATAGCACCGTCAATTTACACAGCACTTTACCTATATATTGTACATTCACATCAGTCCCTAACCCTCAAGGGGCGTACAATCTAAGGTCCCTAACTCACATTCATACACATACTAGGGACAATTTAGACAGGAGCCAATTAACCTACCAGCATGTCTTTGGAGTGTGGGAGGAAACCAGAGTATCCAGAGGAAACCCACGCAGGCACAGGGAGAACATGCAAACTCCAGACAGGTGATGCCGTGGTTGGGATTCGAACCAACGACCCTAGTACTATACTTTTTCAGAAAAAATAAAGTCTTCTGGACTCACTCTGGTGACAGATCGGCACTCACATAATGGCGTGTGGGAGCTGTTCAGTAGTACTCTAGGCCCAGGTTGTGTGGTGACACATCCTCAGGATCCGACACCATATCTTACATAGTTAGTCTGGCTGAAAAAAGACGAAAGTCCATCGAGTTCAACCATAGGAAAAAAAAAAAAGTTATTATCCTATACCCAGAGTTGATCCAGAGGAAGGAAAAAAAAAACCCCAGCAAAGCACGATCCAATCTGCAGGGAAAAAAATTCCTTCCTGATCCCCCGAGAGCCAATCGGATATTCCCTGGATCAACTTTACCTATAAATGTTATATCCAGTTTTAGTTTTCAGGTTTTGGAAGCTGAGGGTGTCTTCACAAGCCATAGACACATGTTTTGACTGTGTGCATCTATATGCACCAGTCTCCTGCATAATCAATCACTCAATTAGGTGTTCATCTCATTAGTTCATGATGTTTTGTTGACGGATTCCACATGCAGGAGAAGTTTCCCGGATTTTGGAGTACTAGTGACCTCACTAGAGATCACTTTACGTAGCGCTTTTACATATATATTGTACATTCACATCAGTCCCTAACCCTCAAGGGGCGTACAATCTAAGGTCCCTAACTCACATTCATACATACGCATACTAGGGACAATTTAGACAGGAGCCAATTAACCAACCAGCATGTCTTTGGAGTGTGGAAGGAAAGCGGAGTACCCGGAGGAACCCACACAGGCACAGGGAGAACATGCAAACTCCAGGCAGGTGGTGCCGTGGTTGGGATTCGAACCAACGACCCGAGTACTGCCAGGCGGAAGTGCTAACCATTCAGCCACTGTGCTGTCCCGATAGACATTGCCTGAATCAATATAAATATTCAAGTGTGTGTGAATGTAGAGTAAAAAGCGTAATATATTGCAGCCTACCAGTCTTAAGATGTGGTGGCTGCATTTGTTTTTTTTTTTTTCCAGGCAAGGAACAAATTCAGCAAGTACAGAAAACCTGTTGATCCTGCCACAAAAAGGAGTTTCCTTGCAACTCCCTGTGAATCGAAGTCACAATGTTATCTTTTGTAAATTACAAATTCCCCCATCCCGTGTTATGGAGATAGAAAAGTGGTTTGTGGTCAAAACCAAGAGAGCAGCCTGGGGTGGCAACCTTGGCTCCTCTAAATATAATTGAGTTAGTCAGTGTAGCCACTATTTGCAGGATTACCAAATGAAACTAAAAAGGGAAAAAAACAATTGCAGCCAACATAGTGAAGGACTAATAAAGAAATAGTAAAAGTTTATATTTTATTTTTAAAAATAACAAACAAGTCATACTTACCTGCTCTAGCCCAATCTTCCCCTTCTCTGGTCCCCCACCAGCACTTCTTGCCCCTCTCCCCTGTCGATTGCCCACCATAGCAAAATGCTTACCAAGGGCAGGGGTGTATTTAGGTTTTGTGACACCCCCCTCCCCCATGAAGACAGCCTGACATTGACCAACATCTCAGCCTCCCACCCAAGAGCCTTCCACTAGCACAAACCCCCATACAGTGGCAATCTCCCCCCACCATGGAGAGCGAGAAGACACTCCCCTTTACAGCTCTGGATATCCCCGGGAACAAGAGTCAGGCTCTGCATACACCATCAAGCAGCCTCTCTCAGATCCCACCTGGTCCCCATGCTGCATGTGTCCCTTCTTCCATCCCTTCTTTTGGAGGGCAAAGCTGCCCCCCTGAAAAATGCCGCCTTAGGCAAATGCCTTGTGGTAAATAGTCCCCTGCCTAGGGGCACTCAGGCATCCTCACTCCTGATATCGTATGTACTCTCCAGCGCCTCAGGATATGCACAGCCAAAAAGGGAAGCCAAGGGTACCAGGACAGCGACAACCAAAGGAAATCAGCTCTGAGGAAAGGGATTCGTCCCCGAAACACGTCAGCCATTTGACCGCACTGACAGTGAGAACACCTTGCCCGCCGTTGTGGCCATTGTCATTTTTCTATGCTTTTTAGATACATGCTTCGTCTGTGAGTATGTTTTTATTATTCTTTCACTCCTACAATAAACCTTGGATAATGCACTAGGTGTGTGCGCCACCTGTTTTCTCTCTATTCTCACTCCTGAGCCTGCCCAGTGTCCACAAGACATGCACACAGCGGGGCTTGGCCCAGTCCACTACTCTCTCACTTGGCTGTGGTTGACAGCAGCGGGAGCCAATGGCTGTGTGAGCAAATGAGGAGGCAGAGAGCCAAGAGAGCCTCTGCTCTTGTGCACATCGCTGAAGCGAGCTCAGGCCATTCGGGGGGGCTGGGGGAGTTGCATGCAGAAGGCGCTTTACCTTAATGCTGAGAATGCCACTTTAAACTGAAATACATTTTTGTTTTTGTGTTTAGATGAGCTTTAAAATGCTTGCTCTGTTCCTATGAAAAAGTTTCACTTTCCGCTAGTTCTAGATCAGAACATGAATATATGTCAATTAAAGAGTGCTCATCAGTAAATCTGACCAGCGCAGAGCATCTAGAACACTGTGGCCAATCCAACTCGGATCTTCTCTGTGGGGGGGGGGGTGACGTCTCAGCTTATGTACATAAAAAAAAAAAGCCAACTTCGAGAAGAGTTGGCCTCATTCTGCTCCTAAATTGTGGTGTCACTGGAAATGCTGCTAAATGCTTTCTGGTTTACAGAATAAGGCAGACTTTTATACCTCCCCCCCCCCCCCCCCCAGAGCACTAGACAATCCATACAGTTTGTTACCAAATAACCAGCTGTCTTCAAGGTATACTCCAGCATGAAAATGCTGCATTCCCGCACTCTTCAATCACATCCGACCTGCTGATGGCCCCCAGTGCACATCCTAGAATTAATCTGTGACACCCATCCAGGATCACCAACTCCCCACACTTGCTGGTATTCTCATTTTCTGCAGATCCTTAGCCTGTAACAACATCTGTGTTCACGGTTTCAAGCACAGCCCTCTTTCAGAGTTGACTGCAGCATCACCCACACGTATCTGAGCTAGAGATGGTGGTCATACACCATAGAGGAGGATGCAGACCCAACCAGAAGGAATAAAGTGAAATAAATGATAGTAAATCCACTCAATTTCCATTAATCTGGATTCTCTCACATGACAGCACTGTGTTTTCCCCAGACTGGGATCAAACTTGTGTTGCAACTCAGACAGAATACACAGCGCATTCCCCAATGTACACTATATTGCCAAAAGTATTGGGCCAGCCCTCCAAATCATTGAATTCAGGGGTTCCAATCACCTCCATAGTCACAGACAAAGTCAAACACATCGGGTGCGACCTGGCATGCGATTTCCATGCTATGCGACTTGCAAATCGTTGCACCCTATTGTCCGCAATTACAGCGGTCATATCGGTGTGGTTCCGACTTGGACGGAGCTGCACTGATTTCTAAAGTAGTACGTGTACTACTTTCGATGCGATTTGCATAGACATCTGTGTCAGGTGTCTTGCAAATTGCACCTGAAATCAGCATGTCCCCCGACTTTGAAAACGTGCAACTTCACTAAGTTGGGCTTGATGTGATCGGTGTGTAAGGCATGCAGACTGCTTCTACAAACATTGGTGAAAGAATGGGTCGCTCTCAGGAGCTCAGTGACTCCAAGCGTGGTCCCGGGATAGGTGGTCACCTGTGCAATAAGTCCATCCGTGACATTTCCTGGCTACTAAATATTCCACGCTCAACTGTTAGTGGGATTATAACAAAGTGGAAGCAACTGGGAAAAGCAGCAGCTCAGCCACCAAGTGGTAGGCCACGTAAAATGACAGAGCGGGGTCAGTGCATGCTGAAGCGCACAGTGCGCAGAAGTCACCAACTGTCTGCAGAGTCAATAGCCAAGAACCTACAAACTACGTTTGGACTGCAGATTAGCACAACAACAGTGCGTAGAGAGCTTCATGGAATGGGTTTCCATGGCCGAGCAGCTGCATACAGCCTTATATCACCAAGTGCAATGCAAAGTGTGGGATGCCGTGGTGTAAAGCATGCCACCACTGGACTCTAGAGTAGTGGAGATGTGTTCTCTGGAGTGAAGAATCACGCATCTGTCTGGCAATCCAATGGACTTGTCTGGGTTTGGCAGTTGCCAGGAGGACAGTACTTGCCTGACTGCATTGTGCCAAGTGTAACATTTGGTGGAGGGGGATTATGGTGTGGGGTTTTTTTCAGGGGTTGGGCTTGGTCCCCTAGTTCCTGGGAAGGGAACTCTTAAGGCGTTAGCATACCAAGACATTTGACAATTTCATGCTCCAACTTTGTGGGAAGAGTTTGGGGATGGCCCCTTCCTGTTCCAACATGACTGCGCACCAGGGCACAAAGCAAGGTCCATAAAGTCATGGATTAGCAAAAGTTTGGAGTGGAGGAACTTGACTGGCCTGAACCCGATAGATCACCTTTGGGATGAATTAGAGAGGAGACTGTGAGCCAGGCCTCCTCCCCCGACATCAGTGCCTGACCTCACAAATGTGCTTCTGGAAGAATGGTCCAACCTTCCCATAGACACCCTCCTAAACCTTGTGGACGGCCTTCCCAGAAGAGTTGAAGCTGTTATAGCTGCAAAGGGCGGGGCCAACTCAATACTGAACCCTACGGACAAGGACGTCAAAGTTCATGTGGGTGTAAGGGCAGGTGTCCCAATACTTTTGGCAATATATAGTATATTGGGAAATTCACATAGTATGTTACTGATGTTTTTCCAACCCCTTCTCTCCTGGAATGCGACATTGAAAGTGGTACAGCAATAAAGTGGGCCATAGATGGATCAAATCCCAGCCGGTTCAGCAGGGATCACTCGATATTCAATTCATCTATGGGCAGACAGGTTGTACCCAAGTTGATCGATGTATCGAATTGGGTACAACTAACCGGTCACATTTTTAACATGAGACTGCTGCGAGCAGCTATAGCCACTAGCAGTAATCACTGTGTTCTGCCGGCTGGGAAGGCTCCCTGTCAGCAGGAGACAATAGCGCTGTGGTCGGAACTCCCCCATCAACATGGACTGTGCTGATGGGGGAATTCAATGTAAAAAAAAAAAAAAAAAAAAAAAAAAAAAAAAAAAATCACAATATATGGCCTGCTTTAGGCACATTCAAACCATAACTAGATTGTAAACTCGAAAGAGCAGGGCCCTCGATCCCCTCATGTTTTGCATTGTATTGGTATTGTTCTGTCACATGTTCTGTCCCCCTTTGTAATGTACAGCGCTGAGCGAACTATTGGCGCTTTATAAATACTGTATAATAATAAATGAAGTGATATACTGTATACCCTGCAAGATTACACACTACACAGAACACCCTTCCCGCTGAGCAGTTTTTCAATGAGACATTACAATACTGAAGTAGCTCACCCTATTACCGATTGTTCATTTAAAGCAATATTAAAACACCCAAAAGCAAACATAATACAGCTTACCAATTCTTCGATGTGAAGGCTGCATTAGTTTTGTGGAAAAACCACTTACTGGCCAGATCACAAGGTAAAAATTACAGAAAAAAAACTAAAAACAAAAACAGGCTGTTCTGCAGATGTAGCAGTTACAGGGTTGAGACAAACCATATCCCAACAGGGGTGCTGGCAGGGGCGGACTGACCATTTGGAAACTCGGGCACTGCCTGAGGGCCCGGGGTCAGTAGGGGGCCCCATGAGAAGACACTGGTACCTTTTTTATAGGCTTTTCTGAGATTGGGCAAGGACACAGGGGCCGCATGATCCCCTATTGCCTGGGGGCCCCATGAGTGGTCAGTCCGCCCCTGGGTGCTGGTCAGCTTTTATGCATAACCTTTATCCCCAAAAAGGAGAAACTGTTGCTGTACCTGCTTATAAATCATTAACTGGATTTTGGCTTCAATTCGTTAGTATATGTAAATCTGCTAGTACATCTAACACTTATCCCCCCCCCAGCCAGACTATACTGTCTGCTGAGCCCTCTGTGTTCCTTCATCCAGAGTGGGGGCACGCTAAAACAGGTGTGTCACTAGTCAGATCACGAGGTGAAAACAGGGGGAAAAGGACTAAAGAAAGCTAATGCAGCCACGTCTATTAGTTGGCAAGCTGTAATAGATTTCATTTTTACTTTTAGGTTGAATACTGCATTAATGATCACAGAATATATCTGCTGGTGATGACAGAACATCCTCCCTTGCTGCATCCCACCATATAAAAACAGAAGAAAAGAAACCCCACACAAACGAGGAGATTTAGAGCCACCAGTCTAATTCAAACCTGCCCTGGTTTGAATAGGCCCGGCTATACAGAAAGTGGGGACGACACAAAGCACAGGCTTCAGGAATACACCACTCCTGACCCCGATTTAGGCTCTGTGCGCTTATTTTGAAGAGAATTACAAAAGAGAATTACAAAAGAATTCAGAAGTCTAGGATTGTTCTTTGATAAAAAAAAAATAGAACAGCAAAATCCCATACGGCAAAATAAAAAAAGCAGCCGAAAGGAAAAACGGCTTCTATGAGGATTGTGAAACCGAATCAAAGTACTAGCTGTTTATAGTGCTTTCTTCAGCCCGGAAAATATATCTTTTCTAGAAGAAAAATCACAACCACCAAGCATTTGAGACAAGACACATACTGCAAGACAACACATGCACAAGCTGAATACACAAAGCAGACAACAGTGCCTCAAAAGGCCTCATACACACACAGTCCATACATATCCACACAGGATCTAGCTGTCAGCAACATTCTGCAAAAGGTTGTCCATGTGCAACGTTTACATACGTCCTAAAAACATATAAAGTAAGTGAGCGCCTTCCAGTCTATCAATTCCCAGATTACAGCAGCTGTACACAAAAGGCACCATATAAGACCTCTAAAACAGATAAAAAAAACAAACGTGCAGCGCTGTTAAAACCAATAAATACATATATAAACATGTAAGAAAGTGCACACAAATATATAAAGTGACACTGTGCATCTATACGTGCCACCAGAATATGTGGCCAATACAAACGTGAAAGAAAACACGGTCTAAAACATAAGTCCAGAGTGCAGGTGTGAACGAGATCTCAAATAATCTTCTGGTATCCAAAAGACACAGATTGTGGATAAGGTGAGACAAGTGCAGATTGCGCACTCACCAGATACACAAACCTTTTTGCGCATTTGTATGATATAATAAGGACATCAGTGCTCTTAGTCATAGGGTGTCCTTGGCCAGGACACCCTATGACTAAGAGCACTTGCTCGAAACGCGCCAGGGTCGAGCTGTAGCTGTTTTGACGCCTTACCGCCGGCACCACAAGGGGTCCCGGCGGCAGCTTGCAATCGGTCAGTAATCTATTTTATTTGCTTTTTTTGCTGTATACATACCCATTGTGTGGAATAAACATCCTAAGGCAATATTGCACTACTGGCCTCCTCTGTTTCTTTCTGAGCTCCTGTGGGTTGCGTATCTGGTGAGTGCGCAATCTAGACTTTAATTGTCTCACCTTATCCACAATCTGTGTCTTTTGGATACCAGAAGAGCATTTGAGATCTCGTTCACACCTGCACTCTGAACTTATGTTTTAGACACAGTGTTTTCTTTCACGTTTATATTGGCCACATATTCTAGTGGCACATACATAGATGCACAGTGTCACTTTATATATTTGTGTGCACTTTCTTACATGTTTATATATGTATTTATTGGTTTTAACAACGCTGCACGTTTATGTTTTTTATTTACATACGTCCAGCATAGATGGACACTACTACTAGCAGCTGCAACTGGCCAATACATAAATATCCACAATGTGTATCCAGAGGCATCGCCTCCACTGATCACATACTACTGATGTTTACAGGTCAGTCCTGAATAAGCCGTTCCTGTGGCAGCGCATGCGCAGTGACCTGGGCCGATGCACATAGCGCAAATGACTCATTCAGGGTCAACATGTAAAATTCAGAAGTGTGCAAAGAGTGGAAGAAGGGCTACACATTGTTAAAGCATATTTCCACTCGCCCTGTCAAAAAATAAAGTCAGCAACTACAAAAAAGGTAGCTGCTGACTTTTTAAAAAAAAAAAAAAAAAAAAAAAAAAAAAAAACAGCCACTTACCTGTCTCTCGCTCCCACAGTGTATCCCCCGCAGTTGGTTTCACTGAGTGTCCAGTATTCCAGGAGGACGGCATCTTCAGTGTGGGGAACCCGGCTGTGATAGCTTGTGGATTCACAGCCGGGTAGCCACTGCGCATGCACGAGTAGTGCTGCACTTCATGAAACGTGTCCCAAAAGACTACGGGGGGGGGGGGGAGGACACCTTTCGCTTCCGATCGCCTAGGTGATTGGACCGGAAGAGGGAGCGGGTAGCTGTTAAATTTGGGCACCCGTTCCCTCCGCCCCCCAAAAGGTGCCAATCCTTAATGGGGAGCGGGGGAGCAGTCCTTAAAGCGGAACTTCCCCTTTTGGTTGGAGCTCTGCTTTAAAGTCAGCCCTCAGCAGCACAGTCCAATCCAGTCCAAGTTGGTACAAACGTTTATATGCATAAAGCATGGAATGAAGTCTATACACAGGACCATGAACACAGATTTTTCCAAGTTTTGGTTTACATAGCAGAACGATGTGGACCAAAAGGGAACCAGGGTGCTTGGGCCCATAGGATTACAATACTGCTGTGTGCAGATCCATATTATGTACCTTAATGCAGCAAATAGTATGCCAATGTGCATGAGCCCCAAGTGTTACAGAGGAGTTAATGCCTCAAGCATAGAAATAGAATGTTGGTTTCCGGTGAGGCTGAATTTATACCTTTGCTTTTTGGCTTGATGTATTTTCCATTAAAATCAATGCACAGCTATAGCCAAAGATGCAGGTCACCAATATTTAAGGTGGCTATAAAGATCTGAAATTTAAAAAGGAAGTATATCTGCACAAGTCACTGACAGCCTATGCCAACAGCAGACAATTCACAGAAGACTACCCTCCACAGCAGGCGATTGGCAGCCTCAGTTGTACATGTTTCCCTAGGACAGTGGTCGGCAAGCCGCGGCTCGCGAGCCACATGCGGCTCTTTACACGCTTTAATGCGGCTCGTGTGCCGGGCGCCCGCTCCCCTCCCTCCTCTCGGGCGGCAGGGACTCTGCAGCGTGATCCAAAAAAAAAAAAAAAAAAAACAGCCAGGGCAGCGCGCTCAAATGCAATGATTGGCCAGTCTCGCTGCCACTCACATCCTGATAGCCAGTGATTGGCTGTCAGGATGTGTGTAGGCGGGGCAGCGTGACGAACGTGAGAGGAGCTAGGCTCCTCTCACAGTCCGCCCTGAAGACCAGAACGGCGCGGGAACACGGCGAGAGGAACGCGTGGAGCAAAGGTAAGTGAATTGACACAGGGGGGACTTGGCTTACTACTTGTTACTTACTACTACTATATGAGGAATGAATTAATATGAGGGATGAATTACTATAGGGGGGATGAATTACTATAGGGGGGGATGAATTACTATAGGGGGGATGAATTACTATATGGGGGGATGAATTACTATAGGGGGGATGAATTACTATAGGGGGGATGAATTACTATAGGGGGGATGAATTACTATAGGGGGGATGAATTACTATAGGGGGATGAATTACTATAAAAACTTATTGAAACTAAAAACAGTGTACCATCCTATGTATTTTCAGTTTTAAAAATGTGGCTCTCAAAATAAATTTCAATCGTGGTTTTGGCGAGATTTGGCTCAGTTGAAAAAAAAGGTTGCCGACCACTGCCCTAGGAGACTGTAGAGGAGGTGTGTCCATTCCCTGTACTCAGATGTCAGGTTACACTCAGCTCCCTGTTTTATGCTGTGCGACCCCAGATCCATTCCCCGGCCTTCTGTAGCTTAAATTCTGTACTTTGGACGGATGTAGAGGAGAGAAGACTACAGATACAACTTATGCAGGAGGAAATGCTTTATCGCTGCATCATCTGAGATTAGTAACTTCACTGAGTATATGTATGAATGTTATATGCATTAAAAACCATGTGGACAATGCAATCAGAATGCCTTAGTAACCAATATGGGTATTCCCATTAGCCGAAGAGAATAGGACTTGCTGGGGCTTGGTGCTCAGGTAATCACCAATTTCTAAAATCGTATGCCCTCAAATAACATTTGGTCTTTGAATGGATGTTAAATGGGTTCAAAACAACAGAAACGTTTAAAGTCGGTTGTCAATCTCCCTTATTCCTAACTCTGTGATGCATTAGAGTCAATGGTTCTATAGGTCTATAGGCAGCACTTGGCACATAATTTTGTAGCATGAAAGGTATAACTGCATCGCGCATGAAAATGAACACAGCCTGCATCGGAGGAACGCCAACAGTGCAGTTCCACTGTGATACCTATCCTAGCATGTGTCGTCCCCCACTAGAGCCAATTTATAACCATGTGCTGTGTGAATGCGTGCAACTTTAAAACATACCATTTTAATTCAAAGGATAAGTTCACCTTAAAAATAAAAAAATAAACACATTGTTCAAGGTTAAAAAAAAAAAAAAAGATTTTTTTTTTACTGGGAGCCTGCAAAGCATTGCAGCCACAATCAGCAGATTGCCGGTGCAATCTCAGGCTCTTGAAGACTGTCCGTGTATCTGTCTGCTTGTACCCGATATGGGCCGGCAGTTACACAACAGGAGGCATTAATGAACTACCTAGTTGTAGTTCTCCCATTCACAGAACTGTGAACGAAGCAGCAGAGCACTGCATGGATGCTTTTTATAAAAAATTGTGAGTGAATGTGGGGAGAAGATCCCCCGCTTGCAGTCACAGCAGCTGATCGGGGGGGATTAGTTTGTTGCCAATTGCAGTACAGTAACTTAATATGGGTGTAACATGTTACAAAAGCAGAACCTAGCCTTTAAAAAAGGGAAAAAAAAATTATGCAGAGGTTACATTCAGTAAAAAGTGACATTTTACCCTTTTACCCCTACTGATCCCACCCCATGTGCTGTCCAACCAGTCAGTAGGTAGGTTTGGGAAATTCCCTCCTAGATTGTAAGCTCCAAGGAGCAGGGCCCTCAAATCCCTCTTGTATTCAACTGTATTGTCTCCCGTTATATTGTAAAGCGCTGAGAAAACTGTTGGCGCCATAGATCCTGTATAATAATAATAATAATAATAATAATAATAATAATAATAAATGTGGCCAAGCTAGTTTTCAGATTTGGATACATCTCCAGCAGTCTAATTCTGGATCTACTAACCATTTTTATGGTTTTCACCTTTGTACACTTTTCCCATCATATGCTTTGCCTGAATTGTACAGCAATGTCATGTGATAAAGAATACAAAGACGGGAGGGGAAAAAAAATAGTTCTCTCAACCAAATGATTGAAAGGTTAAGTTCACCTTTACAAATACATGCACATATTTGTTGCTGGGAGGAAAAAAAACAAAAAAAAAAAAAACACTGATTTTCCACAAGAGCCTGCAAACCATTGCACAATCAGTAAATCACAGATGCACCATCAGGTTCCTGCAACCTCTTCCATCTTCACCCGGTCTTCTTTCTGGGTTTGCAGGCTTCGACTGTTTGACTAGCCGAGCTGTGATGATGTCAATCCCTTTGGAGGGACAAGGGGGCACTCTTTATGTCTGGAGGAAAAGAAATTTAATCTCCAAAACATGGAAAGGTTTCTTCACAGTGAGAGCTGTGAAAATGTGGAATAGACTCCCTCAAGAGTTGGTTCTGCCCAGCTCAGTGGATTGCTTCAAAAAAGTCCTGGATTCTTTCCTAGATACAGAGAATATAACTGGATATAACATTTATAGGTAACGTTGATCCAGGGAATATCTGATTGCCTCTCGGGGATCAGGAAGGATTTTTTTTTCCCCCATCAAGAGCAAATTGGATCGTGTTTTGCTGTTTTTTTTTACCTTCCTCTGGATCAACTGTGGGTGTAGGATTATAACTTTTTTTTTATGGTTGAACTGGATGGACTTTTGTCTTTTTTCAGCCGGACTATGTAATTCCCACGGCATGCCGTCCATTGAGAGTGCAGTGCGCTGGTGAAGTCACCGGCTGCTACTATAGTAAATATCTTCTAAACTGTAAACATTTGAGATATTTACTATATCTACAGGTAAGCCTCATTTTAGGTGCGAGTAAACAAGATAGGCTTTACTGCCATTTTAAGAGGCAGTGGTTGCGGAGGAGAACCTCTGCATGCTGGCATGGGGGAGGTGCTTAGCAACACATTACACCCTAAGTATTATAACCTTTTTAAAATTACATAAACCCACTCCTAAAATAAATATTAAAATTCAAAAAATTCGAAAAAATTCAAAAAAACAAAAATCAAAAAAAGTCCAATATAAAGTGTCCCAAAAAAATGTCCTAATATAAACAAAAATACAAATAAAAATAGTGTCCAACAGATTAGTGTCCAACAAATTATCCCAATGTTCAAACTTTATTCTCCAATAGGAAGAAATTCCATTTCATCCCGTGGTACCTCAAAAAAAAAAATTTGAAAAATCTAGTGCATTACCTTTATAAATGATATATTCACTCCGTGCAAAAACACAAAACCATAAAACTGTGCAAAAAACTATATATATATATATCTCTCCTCCGTGCACATATGAGTTAGCTGTGACCACTCTGTGAACACTGCAACACTGTGTATCCACCAACACCAATAGTATTAGATACTATTACCCTCTGTATCCATATACCAGCATCCAATGAGATCTTCTAATTCGCTTCAAAGAAATTATTCCAAGGTCCTCAAAAGACAGGAAGGGTCTCAAGGCTCATATTCAAGGTATGGTAAAGAAATTTTAATAGCCACTTACATTAAAAATTCATTAATCCAGCTTCCAACATGTTTCTCCTATGAGTTCCATCAAACAAATGCAATCTGCCATGTGTTGATAACCCACAAAATGGCCGCGGCGACACTTCCGGTCTGCGTGCGTGCGTCACGACGTCACACCCTTAACGCGTTTCGTCACTTCCGGACTTCGTCTGAAGGGATCCCTTCAGACGAAGTCCGGAAGTGACGAAACGCGTTAAGGGTGTGACGTCGTGACGCACGCACGCAGACCGGAAGTGTCGCCGCGGCCATTTTGTGGGTTATCAACACATGGCAGATTGCATTTGTTTGATGGAACTCATAGGAGAAACATGTTGGAAGCTGGATTAATGAATTTTTAATGTAAGTGGCTATTAAAATTTCTTTACCATACCTTGAATATGAGCCTTGAGACCCTTCCTGTCTTTTGAGGACCTTGGAATAATTTCTTTGAAGCGAATTAGAAGATCTCATTGGATGCTGGTATATGGATACAGAGGGTAATAGTATCTAATACTATTGGTGTTGGTGGATACACAGTGTTGCAGTGTTCACAGAGTGGTCACAGCTAACTCATATGTGCACGGAGGAGAGATATATATATAGTTTTTGCACAGTTTTATGGTTTTGTGTTTTTGCACGGAGTGAATATATCATTTATAAAGGTAATGCACTAGATTTTTCAAATTTGTTTTTTTGAGGTACCACGGGATGAAATGGAATTTCTTCCTATTGGAGAATAAAGTTTGAACATTGGGATAATTTGTTGGACACTAATCTGTTGGACACTATTTTTATTTGTATTTTTGTTTATAGTAGGACATTTTTTTGGGACACTTTATATTGGACTTTTTTTGATTTTTGTTTTTTGAATTTTTTCGAATTTTTTGAATTTTAATATTTATTTTAGGAGTGGGTTTATGTAATTTTAAAAAGGTTATAATACTGTGTTACTTTCTGGGGAAAGTGTGACTTTTTGAGGGGTTTGGGGGGGAAGGTGATTATACATATACTTAAACATTACACCCTAAACCTGGGTGTAACATCTTGTTAAAGGTGAATTTGCCTTTTAAGCAGTAGTAACCTCAGTAAGAAAAATCCCCTGCAAGCATCATACCAAAATGTATTGCATTTCTACACACAGCAGTACACTCTATACCAGGGGTAGGCAACCTGCGGCTCTCCAGCTGTTGCAGAACTACAAGTTCCATCATGCCTCTGCAAGTCATAGCTGTAACTGTCAGTTTTGTAATGCTGCAATGCCTCATGGGAAATGTAGTTCAACAGCTAGAGAGCCGCAGGTTGCCTACCCCTGCTCTAGAGCATCATTCCTGCTTTCTTACTGTTTTGCGCAATTTTGTTATTTCTCCATTCCAAATGAAGCCAGCGCCAACTTTGCCACTACTTCCCGATTCCTTCCAGATCTGCACTCCTACGCATGTACAGTACAGGTGAACCACGGCACCACCTGCCTGGAGTTTGCATGTTCTCCCTGTGCCTGCATGGGTTTCCTCGGGTCCTCCAGTTTCCTCCCCCACTCCAAAGACATGCTGGTAGGTGAATTGGTTCCTGTCTAAATTGTCCCTAGTATGTGTATGAATGAATGTGAGTTAGGGACCTTAGATTGTACACCCCTTGAGGGTCAGGGACTGACGTGAATGTACAATATATATGTAAAGTGCTGCGTAAATTGACAGCGTTATACAGTTGTGGCCAAAATTATTCAACCCCCAATGCTGTAAAGGGGTTTAGGGACTATAGTGTACATTTGGAATTGTATTCAGAATCAAATCCTACAAGGACGTTGTAACTACCCAAATGCAACTAAAATGACATCAAATTGTTTATGTAATACAGTAGTAAATGGTTCTTATGTGGTTTCTTCATTGCCACAATTATTCAACCCCTTAAAGACTACCACTCTGAAGAACAGAGGTTTCATACAGGTGCTTTCCATCAGGTATTGAAAACACCTGTGGATGTCACCGAGCAGCAATCAAGCATAATAAGCACCAATTAGGCAGCTTTAAAATGACTGTGATACTCAGCTCCTTCTAGACATTTACTGGTGTGGTTACAAACATGGTGAAGGCAAGAGAATGGTCCAGGAAGACAAGAGAAGAGGTGATTTCTCTTCACAGGAAGGGCAATGGCTATAAGAAGATTGCAAAGATGTTAAACATACCAAGAGACACCTTAGGAAGCATCATTCGCAAATTCAAGGCAAAGGGCACTGTTGAAACGCTACCTGGTCGTGGCAGAAAGAAGATGCTGACTTCGACTGCTGTGCGCTACCTGAAGCGTAGAGTGGAGAGAAGTCCCCGTGTGACTGCTGAGGAACTGAGAAAAGATTTGTCAGATGTGGGTACAGAAGTTTCAGCCCAGACAATAAGACGCACACTGCGTAATGAAGGCCTCCGTGCCAGAACTCCCAGGCGTACCCCCTTGCTGTCTCCAAAGAATAAGAAGAGTCGACTGCAGTATGCCAAAAGCCATGTGGACAAACCACAAAAGTTGTGGGATAGTGTTCTGTGGACTGATGAAAGAACAAAATTAGAACTGTTTGGGCCCATGGATCAACGCTATGTTTGGAGGAGGAAGAACAAGGCCTATGATGAAAAGAACACCTTGCCTACTGTGAAGCATGGTGGAGGGTCAATCATGCTTTGGGGCTGTTTGCTTCTGCAGGTACAGGGAAGCTTCAGCGTGTGCAAGGTACCATGAATTCTCTTCAGTACCAGGAGATATTGGATGGAAACGTGATGCAGTCCGTCACACACCTGAGGCTTGGGAGACGTTGGACCTTTCAACAGGACAATGATCCCAAGCATACCTCCAAGTCCACTAGAGCATGGTTGCAGAGGAAAGGCTGGAACATTTTGGAGTGGCCATCGCAGTCACCAGACTTAAATCCGATTGAGAACCTCTGGTGGGACTTAAAGAAAGCAGTTGCAGTGCGCAAGCCTAAGAATGTGACTGAACTGGAGGCCTTTGCCCATGAAGAATGGGCGAAGATACCCGTAGATCGCTGCAAGACACTTGTGTCAAGCTATGCTTCACGTTTAAAAGCTGTTATAACTGTAAAAGGATGCTGTACTAAGTACTAAGATTGAATGTCACTTGGGGGTTGAATAAAACTGATAATGCTGTGAGCACAGAAAAGACATTTGTGGTTATTTCATTATAACTGTTATGTTATATTTGTCTGACCTACAAGTGCCTCTTTAATGTAAATGTAAGCAAGATGACTGAAATGATCAAAAGCAATGTCAAACTGGCCAAAACACTCAATTTCAGTGGGGGTTGAATAATTTTGGCCACAACTGTACAAGTACCTAAAATAAATAAACCAAGCCTTGTTTTCATGTAAAGTTAGCATCGCGACTTAGCCCAGCATTATGAATGGGCCGTGGTCTCGTGCGATTCAATGCAATGCTGTGGAATAATGCTTACAGGGAACACCACGCAGATGCCTAGATTGATCAGTGTGCTGTAAACTGGGATAAAAATGGACATGCGCAAGTGACATCACTGAAAAACAGCGGGCAATATCTCCTAAACTGCACAAGTTAAAATCCTTTTAAAGCCAACAACTTGCAAGTCATTTTATACTGCTTTATACGGTGCAAAGTTGTCCAGGTGTTGCTACTAACCAGGGGCGGACTGACCATTTGGAAACCTCTGGCACTGCCCGAGGGCCGGGGTCAGTAGGGGGCCCCATGAGATGTCCCTGGTACCTTTTTCATAGGCTTTTTTGAGTTTGGGCCCCATGATCCCCTATTGCCCGGAGGCCCCATGAGTTGTCAGCAGGGGCGGACTGACCATTTGGAAACTCGGGCACTGCCCGAGGGCCCGGGTCAGTAGGGGAGTTGTCAGTCTAACTGCCATTAACACTTTAAACTAGAAAAAACCATTTACCCTAGGTTTCACATCTGTGTGGGTGGTGCCGCTGCGGATCCGCACGAAAATCTGTGCAGCCGCACCACCCGCACAGAGAAATGCGGACTCGCGGGGCGGGTACCATTAGTTTTAATGGCACGCCGCCCGCACTGGAAAACACAACTGTACTGCGAGGTTCCCATGAGGGCTGCGTTCTGCAAAGAAGTGCAGGGACTTCCCTGCGTGTCCCGGGCACGAGAGTCCATTCAAATGAATGGGCTCTCGTGCCCGTGCAAAACGCATCCCGGACGGCTACATATATGTGAACCGGGGGTTAGGTAATTCTTGCTTTTTTGAAGTTGCTCCATGGCAAAATTTTCTGAATCAGAAAAGAAAGCAATATGTGCATATATCCAAAGTAATAGCAATTTCATCTATACAGTATTGAAGGTTAGCCAGTAAAACATCCTTGGACAGCACAGCGAGGGACACCACGTATCATAGGCATGCATTTACGTCAATTCCTACATGCACAAGTGAACACAGAAGCCAACAGCCGCAGGAAGCGGCATCCTTGAGTTCATGTTGCTATAGGAACAATGCAGTGCAGAAATCAGACAACATGGGCATTCATGTGACTATTACAGGCCATCCTGGGAAACATTTCATAAACGGCCGCCTTCTGCTACAATGAGCCCAAGAATGTCCCTGCTGGAGAAGAGCTGGTTAAGAGGAAGGTGTGAACCTACAAACAGGCCACATAATGAATGCAGGTAAAAGGTTGCAACACACTGTCCACGAATATCTAAACCATATTCCCATTCATACTGAACCTCGTTCAACCAGAGGATGGCTGACCGGCTTTCCTCATAGAAACAATCCCCTATTGCCCCGGGCAATAGGGGATCATGGGGCCGTGTCCTTGCCCAAACTATGAAAAAGGTACCAGGGGCATCTCATGGGCCCCCTACTGACCCCAGGCCCTCGGCAGTGCCAGAGTTTCCAAATAGTCGGTCCCCCCCTGATGGGAACGGAAGCATAGGCTGTTTTTATTTCATGCATGTCAGTCTTTATCACAAACATTTTCTGCAATATTTCGAAGGAAAAACTTTAAATAAAGTTGAGCGACCAAAGTCCAGCCCTGGCCCACCAAACCATCATGGAGGCAAGTCTACTGGTCCCTTCGCCTGCTCTCACACGGCTGCACTGCGTTTTTCCCCGTGTGTTTAAAGCGCGCTAGCTGTGCTTTTCCGTAGCGTTGTGTCCCGCGTGTTTGATGTGCTTTCTGAAAGCAGCATGCAGGAAAGGGCTAAGGGCTCACGTACACGGGGCATTCTGAAAACTCTTCTGACCGCTGGAAACTGACCGCAAGAAAACGTAGGTTAAAAAAAAACTTCAGTTTAGCCGCGTTTATGCGCGCGTTTAGAAGCGTTTTTAAAAGATAACCTCAGGAGACCTTCCCAAATGCCCAGAATGCACTGAAAAATAGTAAATTAACAATTTCAGACATTTTGAGAGGAATAGAGAGCAGAAGCAGAGGAGCAGTATGTGTGGAGATGACCTGTCTTTTCTGGTTGTATTCACTATGGATCCCATCATGAGCATAATGCGGCACGTTCTACCATTGTTTCCTTCACGCGAAACCTGGAACTGACTGCGCTGGTGTACCGGGTCCATTTGAATACATGGAAAACGCTGTGCATGCATTTTTGATGAAGAAAAAAGGCTCTGGACAGCATCTGGATATGGACCTGTCAAAAAACACATCTAAAACACAAATGCTTGTAAATGCGATTAACTGCGTTTACAAGCGTTTGAAACGCCGGTAAAATCTACCCCTGAACGCAATTCTGGTGCGTTCAAAAAAAAAAAAAAGAATGTAAACACAACTGCCTGTAAATGACTGTGTACATGAACACATAGGAAAACAGGAGAGTTCAGGGGCTGCTGAAAAAAAAAACCGCTCAACAGCTCCTGAACGTCAGTTTATCAGCTGCCGTGTACATGAGCCCTAAGACTGTCATATTGACACCAGGGGCAGAACCCAACCAGATGACAATCCTGTGTATGCAGGGACTTGAACCCTGAGTGGCAGGCCTTTGGCACTTTCCACCAAGTCTTTGTTCATATAGGCAGACCTAAGCATAAACCAGTGCAAGGGCCATATTTTGCCTACAGGGGGATGCAAAGGTGTTCTGTGCATCCGTGTCCAGGCAGTCCCATTCATCTAAGTTGGAATGCAGCGGCTGCATGGACACAGCCGCTGTTCCCAAGTTGACATCCATGCAGGTGTGCGTCTCGGAACGCAACCCTCCCCCCTTAAGCTCCAATGCAAGATTTTAATACATTTTATGTGGGTGCATTTACTAAAATACAAAAAGGTAAGCTCACTCCAAATATCCTTGCCACCCCCTCAGGACCCCACTGCACATAGTCTATTCACTAATCTGGTGAATATACAGCAATGCTTGCATTGGCAAGCGGTCTTTTGGTGAGCATAGCCAAATGACTGTGCTGACTAACGAGAAGCACATGGAAGAGCTTTTCAGTAATCACATAGTAGCGCGCGCACCAATGACCATGTGGCAGAGCAGCGCGCACCAATGACCATGTGGCAGAGCAGCGTGCACCAATGACCATGTGGCAGAGCAGCGCGCACCAATGACCATGTGGCAGAGCAGCGCGCACCAATGACCATGTGGCAGAGCAGCGCGCACCAACGAACATGTGGCAGAGCAGCGCGCACCAACGAACATGTGGCGTTGAGAACATTATTCACTCCAGGGTGTGTTGATCTGTGTATAGACCGCACCATACCCATCAGCATGGGGCCACTAAGTGCAGCAGAGTCTGAGGGGCAGCCAGGGGTTTTTCCACGAAAAACTAGAAGGTGAATTGCAAATATCCTGGCTGTTCCTTGCACAGTTCACCCTTTAAATTTTCACAAAAGGTGGACTATGCCTTTCAATAATATACAACCCTAGAGGAAAAAAAAAATAATAAAAATTCTCAAGCTCAATGACCCAAATGTGTTTACAAACTTCTGCATACCTGCATTTTTTTTTATGCTTATATGCATTTAATGCTCTGGATCAATGAGCGCAATGTGGGTGATCAACGTGGGAATATAAACCATCAGAAGGAAAATTCCATAAAAAAAAAAAAAACACATAGCAGGGTATCAACTAAGCTTCCCATGCCATTACAAAATGGCACAGGAAACTGTCAGAAGTCACATGCACAACATTAACTAAGAATACAAACCTGTTTTGTGCCAGCAGAGTGAAATATGAACTAGCACAGATCTGCCCCTAACAGAGGGAATGCAGCAGTTTTCCATATAGAAAACTGCACACAGATTCCTACCCGTGGGACCTTGTCATAGCGGATCCAAGCTGTCAGCAAATAGCTCACTTCCCTCTCTGCTCATGCAGTGATTACAGTACACGAGTAAAGTCTGCAGGGTTAACAACCATCCTCCTCCTCCTGGCTCTCAGCTGAGCAGGAGTCGGGGATGGCCGAAACATCGAAGCATGCAGCTCCAGCTCTCATATTTGTGCTGTGTCTGTCAGGCATGGCCAAACAGAGAAATGATTGCTCCCATTTACCAAATGTTAATTAGGGGCAGTGTCTGCTCCATTCTTTAGGTTAAGAAGAGTGGTGCAAGTTTTCACAACACAATTTCCTCCACAATAATTCAAGGACATCTACAGTGTATTTTTACAATGCCAATATAAAAAAGGAAAGTGAAAATGTGTGCTGCCAAATGAGATTTTTCAGTAAGTTTATTCTGGGTTGTCAGAAATACCCAATTCATGTTGTGAAGTCTACCAGCCATCTCTTCCCTGAACTCCCTGCATGCTTTACGACTTCTCTGCTCATTATTTTAATAAAAGGACTACATATCCCACAGTATTTTGCTGTATGCAAGCAGAGAGGTCACATGTGGGGCTTTTCCTGTACTGACTGGTTCCCCAATCTCCTCTTCAGCACTTCTGTAGTACAACAGGCAGGCTCTGAAATGTGTGACAGGCAGTAGAGCATAGTGAATACGGGTCACTGCATTCAAGGAAATAAGTGTGGGATTCTTCAGAAAGAGTTTTTAAAAGGTCATGCAGATTACCAGATGTAGGCTACAAATAACTGCAAATTTTGACAAAAGACATGCTTTGACCCTAGGTTCACATCGGCACGGGTGGTGCCGCTGCGGATCCGCATGAAAATCCGTGCAGCCGCACCACCAGCACTGAGAAATGAGGACCCGCGGGTGGGAGCCATTACTTCTAATGGCACGCCGCCCGCACTGGAAAACACAACCGTACTGGGAACCGAGGTTCCCGTGTGAGCTGCATTTTCCAAAGATGTGCAGGGACTTCTTTCCCTGTGTGTCACGGGTACGGGAATCCATTCAAATGAATGGGCGCTCGTGCAAAACACGGCCCGCACAGCCACATAGATGTGAACCAGGGTAAAGCAATACCACACAGGAATCCAGTTCCGCTATACCAGGGGTAGGCAAGCTGCAGCTCTCTAGCTGTTGTGGAACTACATTTCCCATGAGACATTTCAACATTACAAAACTGACAGTTACAGCTATGACTTGCAGAGGCATGATAGAACTTGTAGTCCTGCAACAGCTGGAGAGCCGCAGGTTGCCAAACCCTGCGCTATACCAAAGTTTAGCTTCATTTCCATGTTTTTAGAGGGGTTGTCCTGGCACGCTAGGTACATGGATGGCACTATGAACATACATCCTGCTTTCCAGCTTCATGGTTTGCTGGTTACAAAGTTACTTTGTATTTCCTTTCTTGGTTCATGCGCATGCAGACTGTAGCATTTTACTGCATAAAGCCCACGTATCCTGGCACTTTCCCACGGGGAGCAGAAGGTGCCACCTACAACCTGCTATAAAAGTGAGTATCTGTTCTCTTGTGAACGGCAATGCTTCTTTGCGTCAGGGATCATTCGCACATGGGCACTGAACATTTTCCCCCCCAAGCACTTGCGTTCAGGAAATGTTGACTGCGCATGTGCCATAAACATCAATGCACAGAATCATCAGCATTTATAAGATTTTGGCCAGGTACAGCCATTTGTATAGCAAGCTGTATACAACTGCAGCTCTCCGGGCACAGAAAAGTGCAGGGAAATGTAAACTAGGCACAAAAAAATGCTTATAAATGTCCATGTGTGAGCCTTTAAGAATAACTGGATCTAAAAAACAAGAAAACACAAAAAAAAAAACAAAACAAAAAAAAAAAAACCACAAACAATAACCAAGGACTTATTTGCTCCACAATCCACATGTTCAGTTCCGTTTGTGCGTTCACGCATTTCCAGTACCGCTTGCGGTGCATTTTTAATGATTTTTTCCTAAGGTGCATCCACATGAGTTATTAGTGCACTTACGTCCTAAAAAAGAAAACCACCTTAAAGTTACTCGCACATTTTTATATGGAGAAGAGTAAATGGGTTCTCAGCTGTACAGGTTCATCATAGCATGTTTTTATCCCATACAGTGAAAGGATTCAAGGTGATCAGATCAATAATGTAAACTTTAACGCAGAAGCAAAAAGAAAAAAAAAAAATGTTCACACGGCTGTCTGACGAACTTTTGTACCACTGACTTCATTAACAAAACCCTGGCACGAGAGATATAGTGGTTAACATAGCTCATTTCTGGTCTACAAAATGCTATTTGCCTGACTGTTAATTCAGAATCTCGTCAATACTTCAGTCACTGACAAGCAAAAACTGCAGTTAATGTCAACGTCCATGTTACCCAACGCTTTAAAGGCTTCCTCCGATTGGCTGAGGCAGAAGGAAGGAAAGGAAAAAAGAAAAATAGGAAAGGGAAGGAAGGAGGGGGGGAGGGAGGGAGGGAAAGGATGGAGGGAGGGAAAGGATGGAGGGAGGGAAAGGATGGAGGGAGGGAAAGGATGGAGGGAGGGAAAGGATGGAGGGAGGGAAAGGATGGAGGGAGGGAAAGGATGGAGGGAGGGAAAGGATGGAGGGAGGGAAAAAATGGAGGGAGGGAAAGGATGGAGGGAGGGAAAGGATGGAGGGAGGGAAAGGATGGAGGGAGGGAAAGGATGGAGGGAGGGAAAGGATGGAGGGAGGGAAAGGATGGAGGGAGGGAAAGGATGGAGGGAGGGAAAGGATGGAGGGAGGGAAAGGATGGAGGGAGGGAAAGGATGGAGGGAGGGAAAGGATGGAGGGAGGGAAAGGATGGAGGGAGGGAAAGGATGGAGGGAGGGAAAGGATGGAAGGGAAAGGATGGAGGGAGGGAAAGGATGGAGGGAGGGAAAGGATGGAGGGGGAAAGGATGGAGGGAGGGAAAGGATGGAGGGAGGGAAAGGATGGAGGGAAAGGATGGAGGGAAAGGATGGAGGGAAAGGATGGAGGGAAAGGATGGAGGGAAAAGGATGGAGGGAAAGGATGGAGGGAAAGGATGGAGGGAAAGGATGGAGGGAAAGGATGGAGGGAAAGGATGGAGGGAAAGGATGGAGGGAAAGGATGGAGGGAAAGGATGGAGGGAAAAGAAAGAAAAGAAAGGTAGGAAGCAGGGGCGGACTGACCATTTGGAAACTTGGGTACTGCCCGAGGGCCCAGGGTCAGTACGGGGCCCCATGAGATGCCCTGGTACCTTTTTCATAGGCTTTTTTGAGTTTGGGCAAGGACACAGGCCCCATGATCCCCTATTGCCCGGGGGCCCCAAGTGGTGGGACCGCATGGGTCTAGATGGGATAGTGACTCGGTCCGCATCCGGACCCCGGGGGACAGTAGAAGGGGAAGATCAGAGAAGTCAGGATCAAACATCTTTTTTGCACAATGCAGATGATTAACCCCTTAGGTTCCACAGTGAGTATAACAAGTATACTTATTTATTTATTTCAGGTACTTATATAGCGCTGTCAATTTATGCAGCGCTTTACATATATATTGTACATTCACATCAGTCCCTAACCCTCAAGGGGCGTACAATCTAAGGACCCTGACATTCATACATACACATACTAGCGACAATTTAGACAGCATCCAATTAACCTACCAGCATGTCTTTGGAGTGTGAGAGGAAAGCGGAGTACCCGGAGGAAACCCACACAGGCACAGGGAGAACAAAAACTCCAGGCAGGTGGTGCCGTGGCTGGGATTCGAACCAACGAGCCTAGTACTGCCAGGCATAAGTGCTGACCATTTAGCCACTGTGCTGTACTTTACTACATATAAAGGCTGATTTTACTGTTGCGGGTTTAGCAACACTTCAATGCTATATTGGTTCATAGGGGAGCTGGAATTTAGAGGGGGGGGGGGGGGGGGGGAGTGAGCCAAAAGGTGAACTTGGCTTTAAGCCAGTGGTTCTCAACCTTCCTAATGCCGCGACCCCTTAATACAGTTCCTCATGTTGTGGTGACCCCCAACCATAAAATTATTTACCAGTAATTATAATTCATGAGTGTCGTTTTACCCTCCAATACTGCTGCTTTCTACACAGTAGCTGCTTTCTACACAGTAGCTGCTCTTTATACATTGGAAATATGTGTTGTCCGATGGTCTTAGGCGACCCCTGTGAAAGGGTCGTTCGACCCCCAAAGGGGTCACGACCCACAGGTTGAGAACCACTGCTTTAAACAATGAGTGCATGACCAGAGTAAGCCTCAAATAGAAGCCAACATTTTTCAGACTACATGATCGCCTTGGTGTAGTGACATCATTTGCAGTGAAGCTGAATATTTTCAGTTTCCCTGTTCCAGATTTATCTTAGCGCCCGGGAATTTACATAAAATGGCTTCAGAGATTCTCATGCTGATTTTTTTGCTCCATAAGGGATTACAGCGCTCCCCACCGAATGCAGCCAAAGTTATAATACGGTAGACTGCGGCATTTTTTAGGCACAGTTACCTGGCCCCAAGATATGTGCAGCCTTCGACATGAACTGAAACTGCTTTTATTAGGATTCCTCCCAGAATCCACATTCCCAGCTTACAAAGGGGAGTGCTGACCGGCGGTGCGGTTATTTGCCAGGCGCACACCTGCGGGTAATCAGGCAGATCTCAAGAACAAAAAGATTGTGTGTTTTCCAGAGCTGCAAGCTGCATGTATCAGATAGGAAAATAACTTTCTGGATTTTTCACCAACACTGGAATCACAAGCACTTTTTTTCGATGGGACTTTAAAGCAGCTCGTTCCGTAACGTTCCTTGAGGGAAAGCAAAACCGGTGAGCTAAATGAGCTGAATAATGCATTAAACAGTGTAATCTGTACTTAACTGGAAAGATGCTGCAACTATTCTCAGAGGCCAGTTTATTAGGTACACCCGCCCAATGTGAACAGCAAATCAGACCGCTGCATTCAGTCCACAAAGCATGAACACATGCTACTCAGCGATTTTTTTTTTACCTTACTTTTGTAAACAACCTGTACTTTTACCTTCCTTACCTAGGCAAGAATAACGTGGCCACAGCTGCCCGCAGCCTCCAGGGATGCCCACGTCACCCATGCAAGGAGGCTTCAGGGCAATCTTCAACAGATGTACATATGAGTTGGTACATCATCAGGGGCCGGCTGCATGACCCCGTGATGAAATCCAAGAGGAATAAGATGGGGTATGGTGTCGGTGTAAAGAGAACACTGAAAGAAAAAAAGAAAAAAAAAAAAAAAATAGTAGACAATGCTGGTAAGTATATCGTTACAGCGCAGATAGTCAACAAGAGGTATATTTTGGGGGAGGGTGAACGTGGGTGAACCATTGGGTTGAACGGAAAAAAAAAAAAAAAAAAAAAGCAATCGATTCCCCCCATCCACACACTGGATGTGGGTGGGGGAATCAATCCCACTATCCCACTGAGTTATTGCATTCTGCTGGCAGGGAGACTTCCCCACTGTCCGAATACAATGATCAGTGTTGCTGTAGCCAGATGGATTGACTTTTGTACAACCAGCAAGGCCATACATGGATCAATATTCGGCAGGTCTCTGCCAAACCAGGTAAATTTTGATCCATGTATGGCCGGCGCAAGTGATCTAAGGAGCTTTTGACCATGAAATAATTGTGGATGCCAGACATGGACACTGCAGCATATCAGAAAATGCTGGCCTAGTATTTCTACACATAATCTATATAGTGTACAGGTGATGCTGCAGAAGAAACAAAAACAATTAATGGTGTGGGGAAGGTTTTCATTAGCACCCCCCACCCTTCACCAAGCACCAAATGAATGCCACAGCCTACCTGACCTTGGTCTTCCCTTTAAAAAAAGAGGTAAAGTCTTTAAAGTGTTACAAAATCCCGGAGCCTGCATTCGCCATGGCCGGCCTCTCCCCCCCACCCTGCATTCACCAGAGACGGCCTCTCCCCCCCACCCCTGCAT